ATCACATTCATAGCTTATTCGCTCTCGCCACTTATAAATAGATTGGAGTATTTATTTACAAGCTAGTGGCTATTGACTGTAAGAGGACTATTTTTGTCATAACCTTCCCCTTTCAGTTATGTCCATGTTATAATATTCATACATAGGCGTAAGTGAAACATCGTGTCATAATATTTTGCAATTGCCCATATATGGCATGCTAAATATATGTCTGTATTCATAAAGGGCCCGTCATATTTGTGGCATACCCAACATTGTTGTTTACAGATGAGAACTTTGTATTCATTGCCAGACCTCTGCTACCACCTCTTTATCTTGTAAGTTAACTATTGTATGCATGAAGAGCTTCTTATAATTGACTATAGGTGTATGTATTTACTATGGGTCTTTAGTTCTTGTTTGTAGATAACATATGCATTTGTATCAACATGTGATTTTCCCACACTTACAGCACTTCAATTGTCGTTATTCTCAAATAAACCACCTCAGTTGCCGTTGCTAGCAAGCAAACTAATGTGAAGTTTTTTTGCGAATTAGCTAGCGTAAGTAGAAATGAGGTTATATCCTTCACAATCCTCTCACTTTGCTTGCACGCAAATTGTATTCATCGTGCATAATAACTAGCAAATCACCATGTTCATTACATTGCTTGACGGCATATGACATGAGTAATAACATTATCATTATTTCCATTTGACATTAGCATTTTGATTGGTATAATCATCATGGATGGATTGTAGCGTTCATTAGGGATTTCATACTACGGTTTATAGGTAAGTGACGTTCAAGGTTCTTTGCTCAATATAGGTTTTCTAATCATTCAGTAGTGCTCATTTGAATGATTCGAACCATGACTTACGATTTGCATTTTTTATTTTAATTGTGCACTTGATGATTTAGAATTTGGTTCCATGTAGTTTCATTCAAGTTCTTTGTATTCAATTCAGTTCGCTATCATTTTTGTTTTTGTTCCCTGCATCATATTCAAGTCTTCTATATTTGTTCAAATCAAACATAGTCCCCAGCTGTTTTAGGTTTAGGCCCTCGGTTTATTGAAAATTCTGACATCCTTCCGACGTCTCCCCGTTTAGGGGAAATTCTGATAGTCATAGCCTTCCCCTACACGCTACGAGAGCGCTTCAGGTAGATATCGGGAGACACCGAGACCATATTTTTTCAATTCCTGCCATGCTACGAGAGCGCTTAAGAGTACTTAATTTCATCCTCGTCACACTACGAGAGCGCTTTGAGGCCTACCCGCCTCGCCGTAAATGTCGCACTGTGTTCCCTCCAACCGTATTACGAGAGCATGTATGGTGGCCAACCAGCTCGCTGCAAACGCTGAGAGCGGGGGTTTTGAGTTTAAAGAGAGTTAAATCTTTGAGACAACCGGTGATGATGACGATGATGGCGTGGGCACAAAAATCAAAGACAAATTCTAAATTTCCCCTTTCCATTTTTATTTTCTATTTTTCTCCCTTTTTATTTCATTTCTTTCTTTTTTTAATTATATATATATATATATAGAGAGAGAGAGAGAGAGAGAGAGAGAGAGACTGTGACCGGACGAGGTCGACTGGGTGTTGAAGGAGGAGATGGGTGTCTGGTTCGGATCTGTCAAGGGAAGGATTGACGGAACTCGGGGAGAAATCGGGAGTTGGGAAGAGGAATCGAAGAATGCTTGCTTGCTAGAGGAAGAAGAAGAGGAAGGAAGAAGGCGTCGTCGAAGGAGGTCCAGCTGTGGAAGAGATGGAGTGTGTGTGCGGGAAAGAAGGAAAGAAGAAAAGAAGAGAGTTGTGTTCGCGAGTATGAAAAGCCGGAGGAAGAAGAAACGCAAAGCCTTCATTCGGTCGGCTTTTAACGACGAGTGTCGAACGAAGACTACTAAATCAAGGCGAGCTACAAATGCGGGAGACGGGACACGAATTTGGCGCCATTTTGCAGAGGGATGGGCACCGTAAAAGCGGTGTATTTGGCAAAACTTTGGCAGCGATTTTGATATGTATTTTTATATTTTATTCGATTTTTTTTTTTTTTTAATTTGTTGTGCGGGTCAACAACAAGAAGACTTCATCAATAAGCAAAGTATATCTAATAAAAAAGTTTTTCAATCTCAGGATGGTTGAAGATGCTTCAAAGTGGTATATATTATGTATCAATGAGTTGAATCTGATCAAAAGTCAGCATAGCTCAATAGATATCAACTTCAATGACGAAGTTCATGATTTATCTTGTTGTTATTATTACCCAGAGATGGGTTGAAACTGTGACAACAACTAGCAGTTCATGTGCTTCTACAAAGCTAAAGCACAATAATATTTGTGGCTTGATCTTAAGTGAGGACATCATATGATGAGAATCAGATTAAGGTCCTTATTCTGCTGCTCTAAATCTTGAAAGCAGAGGAGGAAGCGCACAAACAAGTAACAATGGAAGTAAAACTAAGGCGTCGTTTGGAACGGCTTTTTTATTGCTTTCTAAAACGGAGTTTAGTACAAAAATAAAAAAATTTGTACTAAAACTCCGTTTTAGAAAGCAGTAAAAAAGCCGTCCCAAACGAAGCCTAAATCACAGTAGAGGAGCAAATATAAAAGTTCATAGTGATGCATTATGGTGATGTGGCATAACTAACCACTTCAAAATGGACTATCTGTAGAGGAATGGTAGACAAAGTTCAAATCATATAGAGAATATGTGAATGTTGCAAGTGAAAAGATTTATGATGCTTTAACCTTAGTGTGAATAGTTTTATGGAGTTCGCGAGCTGGACTCAACTGAGCATTCTTCTTAAGCTCCACAAAAAATTTTATATTAATTATTATCAAAGATACTACATACGAGATGGTTCATCAATTGTTTAAAATTGTGAAATATGAGGCTCGTCTCAGCACAATTTCAGTGAAATATGTCTTAAGGCTTACACCTCAAGTTTTTTTATGAGGCTTGCATCTCAACTTGCCTGAGACCCACCTTGCCTCTCTAGCGTGAGGCTTAAGCCTCACCCTATTTATTTATTTATTATTAAAACTTACATAATCCTAAACTAAAACCCCAAACAAATCATGCCTTCAAGCATCTCCAAGTTGCAAGAACTTCCTCTCGATTGCCTTGATCACCAGCTGCATTCGCTGCATCCACCACCATCGCAATCGCCACCGAGGATCACTTGAAAGATGCACACCACCTCCTCCTCTAATAAAAATTTTAAAGTATTAATCTCATCTTTATGTTGATGAAAAATATTTATAAAAGAGGAAGATAACTGAAATAAATAAAGAAGAAGCATATTTGGAGAACTTTGACTCCACAGGAAGAGGAAGGATATAATTAATTCTTTATGACAACGACTCAAATAAAGACCTCATCAGTGATGATAATGCAGATGATTTTAGAATTGTTGCCAACTATTTCAACTTTCTTAAAGAATTAAATGTGGATGAGTAGGGAACTGAGAAAGAAGGAATTTGGAGTTGAACTTGATGTTATATAACACTTTTATACAATTCGTATATTTAATATTATTTTGCTCATGTAATATTTGGATTTCAATTCTATTTCACATGATTTATCACTTACCACTTTATGTCTTATGCAATTTTTTATTTCATATGCATGTCAATTTGTTACTTTATAGGTCAATAGAAATTAATATATCAGCCTTTAATACATTATTTGGGTATTATATAAAAATCACATTTAATTTTTATTTTTACTTTACTCGATTTTTTTTTTTAAGACTTACGCCTTAAAACACCTTGAGTCTTACGCCTCGCCTCATGAATGAAAAACGCCTCAATATCCAATTGCACAATTTTAAACCTTGGTTCATCTTGCTAATGGTGAACCCTAAACTTTGTGGGAGTTACTGGTCTACAAGCTAGGATAATAACAAGATGATCAATATGATGCCCACAAAAAGGTTATGCCTCAAATTTTTGTATTGATACTTAAAAGAAGTCAAAGGAACTGTCGGGTATGGTAATATCAATTAAGAAAAATAATAGTATCATATGCATTATGTAAAGCGCCAAAATAAAGGGAACAACTATTAACTCAATTGTTGGTAATTTAGAACGTGAGATGTAGAAAAAGTTTCTGTTGAGTGGGAGCGGAGCTTCCAAAAGACAGTATTGTAGTGCAGAGGATTTCATGATCAAGAAGTAATAAGGTAGCAATACACGGGAGTTCTGCAGCTAAGATAAGGAACCCAAAAGAAACAGAAAAGAAATAAATAAAGGCCAAGAGAATATGAGAAGACATGGAAATAAAAAATTTTAGAAATTTAATGGAGAATGCAAGAAGTAGCGTAAACCAAGAAAATAAAGCAGAAGGATTGAAGATCATCAAGTTGAGAAACGGGAGGACAGTAAGGAGAGAAATCAAGCAGTGAGCACGCTAATGCTTTACAAATGCAATTACATTTCAAATCAAGATTATAAGTACAACAGCATTTTAATGAACACCTAGGAAAATTCAGGGGAAAACTCAAGGTGGATTCTTACTCTCTGCTTGATTTCTCTCCTTGATATCACCACTTCCTCTGCAATCATTCGTTAGAATGAACAAAATACATACAATTTTAATTATAAAAAAAAAACGCTGACAAGCAAAACAACATGGCAAACTAAACAATTGACCATACAAAAATATTGAAGTATGGACAAGCTGAAAACCAAATTCTAATCAGTAATCTCCATACAGCTTGTAATTAATATATTTCATCTCAAAGCATATAAAGCATGGATTCGGATCCTTTCCAATTGTAGTTTCTATTTTTTTTTTTTAAATAAATACTTAGAGGGCAATCTTCATATTTCATATTGAAGGTAGACTGTGAAATTTGAAGGATAAACTTTTCCAACAAACAATGAAACAAGTGTTACCTACACAATTGCTAATCGATTCCAAAGAAAGTGGCCAATCATGGAAAACAACTATCTAGAACATAGCAGAAATAAGAAAAGAAAGATGTTTCTAATAAAGAATAGGGTTTCACTCACCAATTTTCTCTGATGTTCCCACATCCCTTGAGTCCCTCCTAAGTCTCTTCGAAACCCCCTCCTCTTCCTCTTCACCCCTCTCCTCCTCATCACCATCACCCCGCCAAAAGATCCGTTCCTCTCCCCTAGAAACCAACCGCCCCGACTGGGGCATAGGTTTTGGAACCGCGACCTGGCTGCGAGGCGCAGCGACGGATGCGAACAAAGACCGGCTAGGAAGTAAGAAATAAAACTTCTTATCCCCGATCTGAAGAAGATCCTGCGAATCAAGCTTGACCGGCGCTGTGCCGGGAACGTGGAGGACGCCTTCAACCAAGCATCCGTTCTTGCCGAGAACCTCTAGAGCGAATCTCCGGCGAGAGAAATCGTAGAAGATGCGGGCGTGTTTGCGAGAGATGCTCATTCCACCGCCCAGGCTCGTTAGGTCTACATCCACCTCTGCGCGCTTGCTGTTCCTCCCCAGAATGATCGAGTAGGTCTGCATATAATATTCGAAGTCTTCCCCCTGTAGCTTCGCGAAGCCGACCTCCGGGTCTCCTTCACCGGCGCTAGAGCCAGAGGAGAACGACATGGTGGCGGAGAAAGAGAGAGGGAGATACAGAGGGAAAGGAAGAGAGCTGATCCTTATAAAACCGCGCGCCGTTTTCTTCCGGAGGAGGGGTAAGTTTGGAGAGGACCGACGAGATGACGCCGTTAAAATCTGTAAACGGCAATGGACAGTTATAACTGTCTATCACAAGCTTGGAAAAGTAATTTTATATTGGAGAATTTTTAATTTAAAATAGAAAGGCCTTATAGCCAAACAAATTTTTTTTAAAAAGAGTAATTTGAATTAATATTATATTTATCTCAAAATAAATATAATAAATAAAAAATTATAATAATCAAATTAAGACTTAGACTTCTTTTGGAAAGGTTTTCTTACTAGTTAAAGTATATTTTTCAGTTTAAAAATATAATGTTTATATTAAAAAATTATTTTAAGAAATAATAAGAAAATTGTTCAAACGAAGTCTTAATATTCTCATTTATATTTTTTTCTTTTCTCATTTTGAATTTAATCTAATTTATTTGAATTATTGAATTAAAAAAATTAAATATATTTTGATATTTCTTTGTGATTTCTTACGAAATTGTAGTATATTATTATAATATCTCAAAATCAAAATAAGTTGTTATTGATTATAAAATAGGATAAATTAGATTTATTGAAATTTTTTATTAAAAGAATAAATTACATTAAGTTTTATACAAATATTTTATTTATTTTTAAATTTTAATTTGACCCAATACTACACTAAAAAAATTGTATTGTATAATTTATTAAATTTAATGTTGAACTTCATAGAAATAGGCTACAAACCTTTTGAGCATAATTTTGGAAGAATCAAATTTTATGAATAAATTGCTTGATTATAGAGTTGTATGTAAATGAGATTAAACTAAAGTGAGCAATAAAAATGAATAATGAAACTTTGAATATTACATTATTATTATTCTTATTTAATAAATTAAGAATTGAATTTAAATATTTTTTAAAAATTTAAGAGAGAAGATATAAAGATCTCTTATATGAGAGAAAATAATTATTAAGTATTCATTTAGGACAATTTTTTTACTTCTTCTTAAAACAACTTTTTAATACAAAAATTAAATATTTGTACTAAAAAAATATTTTAAGAAACAATAAGAAAGCCGTCCCAAACGAAACCTAAATCATACAAGATTTTGAATTTAGTCCCATATAAAAAAATTAAAATAAACATATACAAGCAAAATTATCAATTAGGTTTTAAGATTTGTTGAGAATAACTTTCTTATTATTTTGCTTTTAAGGCAGCAACAAAAATTTCATTTGGCTTTTATTTTTTTTAGATTTCGCACTACTTTTCAAAAAAATTTACAAAGAAAAATTACTTTTAGAAATCATAATAACTAAATTATTTTACTCCGGGCAACTTCTCAATCAACTTAATAAAATACTACAATCATCTCAAGCATACATTTATTTCTTAATTACTTAGTAAGAGTGTTATTCTTCTATAAAATTTCATTCTTTAAAATTAAATACTACAAAAATTTAACAAAGACTTCATAATATTCATTATTAAAAAGAAATATCAAAACAAAAATACAAATGAATAGAATTATACGTTTCAACGATGCAATAAAAAAGCTATAGTTAAAAACTTGTAGCCACACAATGACCTTCCAAAACATTACTAATGCATTGTAACCAACGGTCAAATTTATCATTCAAATGTATTTTATCATCTGCATCAAATAAATTTAGTTTATGGAACATATGAGATACCATTCCCATTGAAATAAAATGCAGCGTAACAATCTGAGAGGCCAAATAACTCCAAACCTCCCTAAAATCATACATAAATATAAAGACCCAAAAGCAAGAAATAAAGTAAAAACAAGCCATTTGGATGAGACTTTTCAGTACTTCTCAGCTAATCTTGCAGTAACAGCTCTGAGTTTGGAATAGACTTTACCAGCAGGGGATCCCAAAATAAGGCTACACAGAGAATCTCTGGCAACCTTGATGTTGATAAAAGAACCCAAGATGTGTATCTTGGTATCAGCAATTACTATCCTGGTCCTGGTAGAGTTTTCAATGGCGAACTTCGTTTTACCGCCTTTGCCGGAGAGCCTACCGATGGCTCGTGAGAGATGCTCCCCTCGAAGGGTCTTCACGTCCTTGATCTCGAAAGAGTCGACGTAGAGATCATCCAAGCGCAAGAGAGCAAGCGCATCCGCTATGTCGAATCCAAGCATGAAAGCGTGAACAAAGTCGGCGCATTTCTGGAGGTTGCCGATATCTGGTGTGTCAGTTCTAGTCTTAAGCTCAACTCTTCGAAACTGCAAGGTAGTATCACAAAAATCAGAAGGGATTTAGACATTTGGAAGAGTCTCGAAGTGCAGCAGAATCACTGAAGTCATAAGGATTTAGATATTTGGAATAGCCTGGAAATACAGACTGCACTGTAAGATCTCATCTTTTGGCCTTTGCATGATAAGTAGCACATAAGATCACACAATAAAACCATTTCACCAGCATAATAAAACCGTTTCATGCAATCTAGATTTCTATTCGTAGTTGATTTCTTAATTAGATTGTATGATTTTGATGTTTTAAAATACCTTGTGTGCTGAAGATTATGCTATTAGTTTAGATTTTGATGTTGTTTCTTCTAATGACAATAACGATGTTTGAAAGTAGATTATTCTCATTTGTTTAAATTTTTTTCATTCAACCTTTGATTAAATTATGCTTTCTATTTTGTTGTTGTGAGGGATCTTCTTGATTGTTGGCCTACTTGATAATATCTGGTGTGGAATCTTCTTAGTTATGATGCTCGTTTGATAGTCAGTTTTATTTACTTTGCACATCTTACTATTACAATTTAAATTACACTTTAGTTAATGAAATTGAGTTCTCACATTTGCAAGAGGATGTACCTTGGTGTATGCTTTTTGCTGATGATATTCTTCTTGTTGATAAGACTAGAGAGGGAGTTGAAGGTAAACTTGAATTATGGAGGTCAACCTTAGAGTCTAAAGGTTTTCGCTTGAGTAGATCTAAAACGGAATATATAGAGTGTAATTTTAGTAGCAATAAAGAGCTACATAAACGCTTAAAAGTGCCTTTTCAAGATTAAAAAAAATTAATATGAAGATCATTTTCTTTGCTCTATATTCTTTTCTGAAAAGTGTCCTAACACAAAAATTGCTACCAAAGTGGATCACCCTGACATCAACCAAAACTGATTTTTCAAATTTAACATAATTTTCTTATTTTTATGCTCTATTGTTATCTCTCATAATTTTATTATTTGACTCATAAATTCATTCTTCTAAAGTAGCATAATCTTAAACACCTCATTTATTCTTAAATTTTAGAATAAAAATGAATCTTCAACCATATAGCATCATCTTAATTTTGAAAATTCCATTGAAAATATATGTTAATAAAAAAGTTGAAATATCATTTATAATGATCCAAATCTCAGTAGACATCACATATGATGAGGACATCGAAGATCGACGGCCACGATCATGAGCTGTATTTTTTTTTTGTGTCATTTTATGTAGTAGTTTATTTGATTTTTATGTTTTTTCGTTTTTGCCCTTATAGGAAGTTAGTCGCTATCGTAGCCCAAGGGGCATTTTAGTCTTTTATTTTCTTTGTCATTTGGAGGCATATATATGGCCCTTTTCTTATGTAATAGTTAGTTTTTGATGAATGAAGAAATTTACTCCTTGTTCTCTTTGCGAGTGCACTTCTCCTAGATCTCTTAGTGAGTTCAAAGGAGAAACTAGATCTCTTTGCGAGTTCTAGATTTCGTCCAATTTTATTGTGTTGAGATCCGATCTTGGAAGATAAAGAGGTGAGTGGAATCATAGCAACGAAAAATTCTCAGATTTTAGCTCTTCCCTTCCCTCCTCTTGTTGCCGCCGATCCCCTTGGAGCCATCCCGGCCGCCGGCTTGCAAGGCTCAACCCGCCGGCCTGCAAAGCTCCTCTCGCCGGCTAACCCTCCACCTTGCAGCCCGCCGGCCTCCTGCAAGATCCCTTGCCGCCGACCACCCATGAGTCCCTACGGCCGGCCCCTCTCTCCCTCCAATTTTGAATTTCCCTCATTAATGACTTGCCTAATTAAGTCAAATTAAATTAGGGAATTAATCGAGGGGAGTTACAATCTTTTGAAATCCAAATTCCCTCCTAAATTTAATTCAAATTAGGGAGTTACATGAGGCAATTAAAATCTGAAATAAAAATTCAGATTTTGATTAATTACTAGTGGTCCCCACCTACTTAAATCTCAAGCCTCTCCCCTCTCCACATGGCAGGCCACTCATCCCTCTCTCTCATTAATTCCAGCCATTATTACTCCCTTATTAACTCCCCAAATTAAACCCCATTCAAATTCAAATTGAGCCTATTTTTCCTTCCAATCCGTCTGAATTGAGAATTAATGACAAGGCAAGCAATTAAACCACCACCTCCTCCTCTCTCTCCCTCCTAATGCCGCCGGCCAGCCCCTTCCCCTTTTCTCCTTGGCCACCCCTCTTCTTCTTCAAGATTTCTCCCCGTTGGAGAGCTCCTAACTGCTGTCCAAGGATTACAGCAGGTTAACCTTGCTGTCCTGCATTCCCAAGAGACTTTCCTTGCAGCCCAGAGTTCCGTCAATCACCAAATTGCTGTCCAGAAAACCCCAAACGTCCACAACAGCTGTCCAAGGTTTCCCTAAGCCTTGTAGGTGGCTGTCCTGAACTGTTCGGAGAGCTTAAAGCTGCTGTCCAGTAATATACATAGTCCCTTGTAGCTATCTCGCCACTCCGGAGTTCCAGATTGCTGTCTAACAATATCCAAAAGGCTCTTGGCTGATGTACCCTTTCGTTTCAACCTTCCAACGACTTACCCGGAGCTCACATCTCTCTTGCCTTTGGGTAAACTCTTCCCCCGACTCTTTTATCTTCAAAGTTGCTTCTCAATTGTGGTCTTAGTAGCTCATGAAGCTTATGTTAATCTCTTCTCCGCTAAAGCCTAGTAATTAGAAGAGTTGTGTGAGGGGACTTTTGAACTTAACTTCTATGCGTGTGAGATAACCTAAGCTAGGTACCACTTTAATATTTAGCTTATCGTTCAATTCCGCATAAGATCTTGCTTATTATTATGTTCTCTAAAATTAAACGTGCAAACTTCTTTAAGCAAATCACTTTCGCATGGATTGTTTCACATCAGAAATTCTTTTCTCAAACAGCATGTAGGAATAAAATAGTAATATATAAATAAAAACAATGGGAATGTCTTATACAATCACTGATAAAAGTATCAATTGGCATCCAAAAATTCGTTAGAGTTGTTAGAAAATGAGTTATGGCTGGCATCAGACCTTCCAAAGAGAATCATGGAAAAGACTTTAGTAACTTTTTTTTATTGGAATGGTGAGCAATATATCATAATGTAGCTAGCTCGAAACTATGGCCTCATAGAAATAACCTTCTCCTCTAACCAATGGGCTAAGATTCTTCTGCAATACTTCAAATGTTATTGAAATATTTTAAGTTATTCCTTAAGATATTTACATCCAAAGCCTATAGAACACTGAAAACCATTGCGTATATTAATCAAATGGCATACTAAGATTACCCAAGCGGAGCAACTTGAATTAGTATCGCTTCCACTGAACAAAAATACCAAATAACGATTTACTCTCAGTAAACAAGTCTATTGAAGTAATGATCAGCGAAATAGATTTCAGATTGCAACAAAGAAAAACGACGCCAAAAGCTGTTCAGCATAATACTAAAGAAACAAAAAGTTATTCTGAAATAAAAAATATAAACTGAAGGGATAATGTTATCATAGGATTAGGGGATTTCGAAAAACACTGAATCAAACACTAGTAATGTTGGAAATAAACATATCGAACCAAACAAGAAAAAAACAGCATAAAAAAAAACAAGAATTTACCTGGAAAAAAAAAACCACAGAGACATGCACCAAAAAATCAACTATAAAAGAAGATCATCCACTCTCTCTTTCGCTGTCTTCACACTCTTTTATACACCAAAGCATAACTATGATGCGGTTACAAATGCAAGAAAGAATAAAAAAAACTAACTCAGCAGAGGTCCAAAGCGCCTTAGTGCTGTACAAAAAAAAAATATTAGGAGCATTGCCCTAGAGCAGGGGTCCAGGGGACGAGCTACCCCTAAAACTCCCTGGCGAGCTCTTTGTCAAGCTCGATCGAATGAATTGAGAATTGAGTGATCAATACAAACCAATTGATCAACACAATCGGATTCCGCATATAATTAACAAAAAATTTAAATAACACTGACATCTTTTGAAATAATAACATTAACTTGACGCACAAAATTTAACAAATAACACTGATATTTCAATAGCACTGAAATAAATGTTAACAAACAGCCCTTAGAAGGCAATCGGAGTTTCATATGTCGCCAGCGAAAAAACTAATCTTCAAGACTTTTGTTAACTAATCTTCTTCAAGCTTAAAAAGAAAAAAAAAAGTTATAAGATACTAGATGTGGTGGCTAGAAAAGACCGAATTCCAGCGGCCACAGAGAATGCCAGCTAGCAATGAAAGAACCTATTCCAACTGATAAGCACCTACCCATACCTTATACCTGTTAGCACTCACACGTTCTCAACTGTCGTTGTTGACCACCTGCTTCAGCAGTCCTGCTCCACATTCCCTGTCACCGAATAGCCTCTTTCACTCTTGCCTCACCGCTCGCTACCTCACTTTATATTCAATACTCTTGTAAACAACTGTTAAGGAAATATTTTCAATGTGCCACAGTGCTTTCTTCAAACTAGCTATCCCTTCTTCCTTCTTTTCGGTAGCTTAGTAACAGTGCAGGCATTCCTTCATGGTATCAGAGAATTGAGCTTTACTGCCACAACGTCTATTTGGGAGATCAGGCTTCTTCCTCGACAATCCCTCCTGCTTCCTCTCTGTCAGCCTCGATGGCAGACTTCACTGTTCTGGCACCATTAAAGTTCCTTATATCAAATCTTAAACTCATAGTCAATCTATAGCTTAATATTGAGAATTATGCTATCTGGAGCTTGCAAATTCTCAAACTATTCTTAGCCAACGAGTTCAAAGGTTATCTCACAGGAACCCAAACCTGTCCCAATGAACCTGCCTCCCACCCCAACGTCCGTCTGTGGAAACTTATAGATCAAAACCTCGTATCAGTCTTGTTCTTCACAATTTCACCCTTTGTTCTCCCTTACATCCTTCATCTTTCCACCTCACATGAGATTTGGCTTACCTTGGCAACTCGCCTTCAACCCGCGAACAGATCCAGGGTCATCCAGTTGAAAAATGAACTCCATCAAATTCAAATGAGGGACAACACAATGAATCAATATCTTGCTCAGAGCAAGACACTGGTTGACAATATTGTTGCAGCCGGCTCCCATGTCAACATTGTCAACATTGAATATATAAATTTTTACATCATGAATGGACTTCCACCAACCTACAACTCGTTTAAGACATCCTTAGAATATCTCTCCTACCGATTAATCAAGATGTTCTATATTCGCTTCTCTGTAGCGAAGAAATCAACCTCCAGAACGAACTTCAGAAAGGAAATGACCCCTTCTACAGACAACATTGCTCTCTACTCTGCCCGCAACAAGCAGCTCAAAGGCAAAACCAACTACTCCTATTGTGGTTGCAGTTCGATCTCTATATCATCTTAATTCAATCCTCATCCTCCGCCTACAACAACCAACGTCCGTCCAACCTGCTAGATATGTGGCAAGCTCGGTCATACCACCATTTCCTGTTGGCACCGCTGTAACCTCCAATACTCAACACCCCCGTCCGGCTCGTCACGCGCCCTGCTCTCCCAACCACAAAAAAATCAAACAACTGAATGGGTCCTAGATTCTGGAGCTTCAACACATCGCACAACTGACCCTTCCAACCTTCACCAATCCCAACCGTATCTTGGGTTCAACTTTGTTTCCATCGCCAACGACAGCTCTATGCCAATTCAGCATCAAGGCCGAGGTATCTTGCCACTCCCAAATATGCCCCGTAAGCTTCTACTTCATAATCTCCTGCAAGTTCCTTCTCTCTCCCACAACTTATGTTCAATCCACAAATTAACGTTAGATAATCATTGTTCTATATCATTTGATGCAAACGGCTTCACCATTCAGGATCTTATGGATCATCAAGTTCTACTTCATGTTCAAACCTGTGATGCATGTTCAAACCTGTGATGGTCTCTATTCCATCACCACCACTAGCAACAATTCCACCATAGCGCTTCATTCAAACATCGCCTCCACAACTCTATGGTATGATCGGCTAGGCCCCAATCATCGCACTCTGCAAACTCTAGCACAATTAGTTCCATCTATATGTACTCCATCTAGGTCCTTTCTTTGAAAACCTTGTAATATGGCAAAAAGCCATAAATTACCCTTTCAATTAAATACAAATCTTGTTACCATTCCATTAGCAGTAGGGATGTCTATCTCGGGCCACTGGTCGGATTCAAGTCGAGCCCGGAACTGACCCGGCACTATTTGGGTTCGGGTCAACCTGGCTCGACCCGTTTAGGGTTTAGGGACAGCTCAGCAGTCGGGCAGCGGCAGCGGCGCCGGCGGGGCAGCAACAGCGGTGTCGGCGACGCGACAACAAGCGACGCGGGGAGTTGCGGACACGACTCGATGGCTTTACGCGACGCGACGCGACGAGGGCAGTCTAGTAGGCGGACCGCTGGGCAGGCGGGGCAAGTAGGGAAGCTGGGGCAGCGAGGAAGGCGGGGCAGGCGGGGCAAGCGAGGGAACTGGGGCCGCGGGGCAGGCAGGAAGATTCGGGCAAGGCCGGTCAGAGCAGGTAGATGGGTTTCCGGGTCATTCCTGGGTTCTCGGGTCAACCTGAACTCGACAAACAATCGATTTTCCGGACCTGAACCCAACCCACTTTGGGTTTGGGTCAACCAAAACCCGAAATTTTTGAATAGGGTTTTCGGGTCCAATATTGACACCCCTAATTAGCATTAATTCACTCGGACGTTTAGGAACCATCCCCGATTCTGTCAATCAAAGGCTACAGATACTTTGTTATTTTCATTGATTCTTACTCATGCTTCTGTTGGCTCTATCTCATGAACACTAAAGATCAAATGCTCTAAAAGTTTATACAATGTCATAATCTGATAAAAAATTCTTTCAACACTAAAATTCAAACTCTACATTCAGCTGACAACGGAGAATTTACAAACCATAACTTCAAAACTCTCCTACAATCCAATGGCATCAATCATCAATTTAGCTTTCCATATACACCATAGCAAAATGGCCTAGCTAAACAAAAGCACCACCACCTACTTTAAACAACAACTCCGCCAACCTTCCATTTCATTTCTGGGCAGAAACTCTCCTGACATCCAATTCCTAATAAACTGTCTACCCACAAAGCTTTGTCTCTATTTTCCTTGGCTTCGACCTCTAACAATTAACAAACTTCAACCTCCCTCCCAAGAATGCCTATTTCTAGGATACTCAACCTCTCACCATGGATATCGCTGCTAGAACCTCCAAACACATCCAATTCACATCTCTCATCACATTGCATTCCATAAACACACCTTCCCATATCAAAATAACATTACTCCTCCCACACCCGTCCAACCTCCCATAACACAATCTCCTCTTATGGTCATTCCTACATCCACCATCCTTCCTCATTCCTACACATCTAACACAACAAACCATAACACTACGTTAAACTCCCTGCCCGTCAATCTCCCCCAACCTGAACTCTTTCACATCACCTCCAATACACACATCAGTCCTTCCACTTCAACTGACCCCTCCGCCATCTCGCTTCAGCCAATTCCTCACCCAATGCAAACCCGCTTCAAAAGTGGTCACCTCAAACCAAAGCAAATTTTTGATCTCTCTGTCACAACGAACGTCACATGCACACCCTCCACGTACCATCAAACCGTTAAGCTCCAACCAATGAGAAAAGCCATGTCGAATGAATTGCTTTTCCTTTAAAAACAAGGCACATGGACTCTCACACCTCCTAACACTCTGATCCTTGTATGTCGTTGGACCTTCAAAACCAAGCTCACCTTCAACAGGTCACATTGAAACTTACAAGGCCTGCCTTGTGGCCCAATGATTCAACCAGCAATACGGTATCAATTAAAAGGAGGGAGGGCTGTTAGCACTTACGCACTCAGCTCACACGTTCTCAACTGTCACTGTGGACCACCTGCTTGGGCCGTCCTTCTGCTCCGCATTCCCTATCACCGAACGGCCTCTGTCACTCTTGTCTCACCGCTCGCTACGTCTCTTTATATTCAATACTCTTGTAAACAACTGTTAAGGAAATATTTTCAATGTACCACAATGCTTTCTTCAAACTAGTTATCTCTTCTTCCTTCTTTTCAGTAGCTCAGTACCTGTGCAGGCATTCCTTCAATTCCACATAAGAATATTAATGGAACGAGAACGCACCTTAAGATTCATGCGTATATCAATCTTCATCTGCTCGTAAACGGGCGTGTAGATATCCATCCAATATTTCTTTAAGGGCGAGAAGCGATGCACCGGCACCGGCACTTTCCTGAACTGAATCTTTCCTTCAACCATCTCATGAGGCTTCATAGCCTCGAACCGAGGCCGCGACGGCGCAGCCGCCTCCGAAGCTGGGCCACCAGCTTCCAACTCCATGGCTGCCGGAGGACCTTGCGGATCAGGCGATCCCATAGAGTAATTACAAGAATATACCGTAAACTATGGCTATCAGGTAGCCAAAGGAGAAGAAGATCGCAAGCGGGTTGAGCGCGTCGCTTGTTGCAGCCGCTCGACCTGGAATGTCTTGAAACAGTTAGGGGCTGTTTGGTATCGGAATTATCGCGGGATTTAAGTCGGATTTAAGCTAAAACGCTAAATCCAGCCAAACGGTTTTTGTGCGCGCGTTAAATGATTTACTAAATCCCTCTGTTCGGCGGATTTAACTGGATTTAGCCGAATAAGCGCGCGAAAGGGAGAAAGTTACCTTCACAGCCAGCGAGCTCCCGTTCTTGCTTCCGATCAAAATGTCGTAACTTCCGATCCAACAGGACGGGAAAGTCGACGAAGGTTGAAGGAGCCGAAGAAGCGACGCGTACAATCTATACACCTGCAAAGCAACGAAGCCGAACAGCAACGAGATGAAAGGCAAACCCTAGAGGCTTCTAAGTTATTATTGATTAACTTAATTAATATAATTTAAATTATTAATAATTAAGTAAATTAATTAAATAATTAATTATATAATTAGTGCATATCCGAATTTACAGGATTTAATAAATCCCAATAAAGTTAAATATCTAAGGTTTTTATTATATTGTACTATATTATTGACTTGGTTTAGCTCGGCATTCGATTGGGTGTAAAGAACCCTAGCCTAAGACACTTATTTATTTTTCATTGCATTTTCTTTCTACGACATTATCACTCAAATATATCATAATTTTCAAAATTTATAGCACTTAATATTTGAACTAAAAATTTATGGTATCTAACTCTAATGTCACTCAAACTCCATTAAAAAAACCCATTAAAAAAAACTTAAAATTAAAGATAGCATTCTGATATGATAAATCTAATAAAGTCAAAACGACAAAACTATTATGATTCGAGTCCAAAAAGTCATAAATCAAGCACTATGAGTTATCATGCAAAATTTCCTGCGACTATTTGAGGGATTAACATTTTATAAATTTTTTGTGCCTAAACAAGTGTTTTAATCATGTGAGCTACAATAAAATTTTATTTATTTTTATTTGTTGGTAGCAAATTGATTTATGGATTTTGTGTTAGACCTAAAAATTTAGCTGTTAAGAAAAATCATTGTAAATAATTTATATTCTTCGATGCTGTGAATTGGTTGTCCTTGTAAATAATTGATTTCTGATTACTCTTATAATAATACCACACTTACAAAAAAAAAGTACATCATGAAATAATTCATTAAATGAATAATTTATTTTGATCATTTTTTACAACAACAACAACATCAAGCCTTTATCCCACTACGTGGGGTCGACTACACGAATAATTTTCCTCCATTGTGTCCTATTAAAAGTCAAATTCTCGTTTAAATCTAATAAAGAAATGTCATTCTTAATATTTTTATAACCAAGTCTTTTAGGTCTGCCTCTACACTTCTTAACATAAGTCAAATCTAATACATCTGCTCTTCTAACCGGGTCATCAGAAGGCCGTCGTTTTATGTGACCAAACCATCTAAGGCGACTCTCTCTAATCTTACTTCTACTGGAGCTACTCCAACCTTTTCACGTATATGCTCATTTCGTATCATATCTCTAAGGGTAAAATCACTCATCCACCTAAGCATCATCATCTTTGCCACACTTAACTTAGTATTATACTTCTTTTTTAATGGCCAACATTCGGCACCATAAAACATTGCAGGCCTCACCACCATCTTATAGAATTTGCCCTTAAGATTGAGAGGTACTTTTCTATCATACGACAAGCCCGATGCATTCCTCCACTTCAACCATCTAACTTAAATTATGCTGATAATATACTCATCTATTTCACCATCACATTGAAAAACAGATCCAAGATATCTAAAACGTGTATTCTTATTAATGACTTGATCGTTTAAAGTCACAATCCCTTCACTAGGTTTATTACTACTAAAATTACACTCCATATATTCCGTTTTAGATCTATTCAAGCGAAAACTTTTAGACTCTAAGATTGACCTCCATAATTCAAGTTTACCTTCAACTCCCTCGACCTCCATAATTCAAGTTTACCTTCAACTCCCTCTCTAATCTTATCAACAAGAAGAATATCATCAGCAAAAAGCATACACCAAGGTACATTATGATCATTTTTTAGAGAGATGAAAATGATATAAGTGGAATAATGCTTACCCATAACATGCTCAACTAACTCCTTTTCAAATATATATATTACAAAAAATAATTCTATCCTTTTCTTTTAAAAAAAATCCATTTAAAAATTCTTTTGCTGCTGGAATTCAAAGGATAGATATGCAATTTGGCAAATTAATATGGACAAAATTCAAATAATTAAAGATCAAAAGAAAATCAAATCAAAACAAAACTTAAAGAAAAGAAAAGAAAAGACAACAGCAAGCAGATGGAAAAAGCTCATATTCTCTTCACATGTCAGGCCCTCTCATTGGAGAGTAGTGCTTCTATCCCCGCCTTTCTCTGTCTCTCTCATCACAGCTACTAAGGATGGTTCTGCACTCCACTTCGTTATCTGCGGCGATCATATTCTTGTCGGCGGCGTTGATGGCGATAGCTGGTGAGGCGGCGCAGTGGTGCATAGCTCGGAGTGATTCGAGCTCGGCAGCGCTTCAAATGGCTTTGGATTATGCGTGCGGCGCCGGCGCGGCGGATTGTCTTCCCATACAGCCAAATGGGCTCTGCTACCTCCCCAACTCCCTCCAGGCGCACGCTTCCTACGCCTTCAACAGCTTCTACCAACGATCCGGCGCCGCCCCAGGATCCTGCGATTTCGCCGGCACCGCCACCGTCAGCGTCACCGACCCAAGTCAGTACTCTTCTCCATCTCTGCATTTTTTATTATAACTTTTAAAAACTTCCCGGGTAATACTGCTTTAGCCACTGAGTTAATGAGAGTTTTTTTTAAGGGTAGTTTGTTTAGCACTGACAATTTAATAATTTACAAAATTAAGAATTAAAAGATATTTTCATTTATACAAATCTAATAATAAAACACCAACTAATATATTTTAATTTGTATTAATTCTTAGTAATTTAATTGTGGCACAAATTAATTGTTCTTATGGGGTCAATGTTAGGCTTTGTTTGTGATAGCTTTTGTTACTTTTTAAATCAGCTTTAAAAAACAATAAAAAAGTTGTCCCAAACAAAATATTTGTCTTAAAAATAGATAAATTAGAGATAATTTATGTTTAATTTTCATTTTGTACGTGATGTTTGTATAAATATTTAATTGGTTATTATTTTAATAAAAACTTAGGAGTATAAAGTCGGGTCTAGCTCGAGTCACCTATAACTTGAGCTTGATTAGTCAATGGAATTTTAGCTCTAGCTAAAGTTTGACCTTAATTCTACGAGCTCAGGTTACCCGTAATTTGAGCTTGAACTTGATTAATTAATCGAATTTGAGCTTGAGCTCGCGCTTAATTCTATGAGTTCGAGTTGGTTCATGTGCAAACTCATTTATTATGAAATAGAAAAAACATTATGATTTAATCAATTATTATAAAAAAGATCATAAATTAGATAAGAAATAATATATAATCATTTGATATAAAAAAATTAAGATATAATTTTAAATATTTTAAATAACTTTATACTTATACCCCTGAACTCTATAATTTAGATATATTTTTCATTAATATTTTTAAACAAGCTAGTTGGTGGGTTAACGAGTCGAGTCAAGATTGATTCAAACTTAACTTATTAGCTCATCAAGTTATATTTACATTTATGAAAGTATTATTTTAGCAAGATATAAGAGTACGAACAAAATTATTATACATAAAGTTAAGTTTTGATTGGGATGACTTTCTAATTGCTTCTTAAAACAACTTTTAGTATCAAAATTTTTATTTGTAACTAAAAAGCTGCTTTAAGAAGCAGTAAGAAAGACGTCCCAAACGAAGCCTTACTTTGTTAACAATTAATTACATTATTGTGTTAAGTTTATTAAAATCCTCAAAGCATTATCTTAGTTTTTCTTGAAAACCACAGAAAGTACAATGCAATTAAAAATTATTATAAAATTTGAAAATATTTTATCATCATTATATAATCATTTTTAAAGAAGCATTTAATCTCACACTAAATTTTAGTAAGTATATTAGAATTTTTAGAACCATTAGATATTTAGTATCTATTGTTTTATTAAAATTGTATATTTCTAAAATTTATTTTTTTAGAAATTATATTCATAAAATTTTAAATATAAATCTAAATATATATTTTAATTAAATTTGTTAAGAAATTAAATATATAGGTTGATTTTTTTAATGAAATTTAATATTTGAAAAAAATATATAAAATATTTTAAATTTATAAATAATTATATATTTATGTATGTAATAATGTAATTGCTCCATCTGTTTTTATTCTCCACATGAAATAAGTTAGCATTTCTCTGATACAAATAACTCTCTGTTTTCCGAACAATTATTATGTCCTCTGATCATATGCAGATGAACATCCGGTTGTAGGCAAAATTTCGTCTATACGGAGGTGTACCAAAAAACTCGGTACAGCTTAGTATAGACGGGATTTTGACTATGAGGGGATATTCCTATGCATTCTTTTACACCGGACCAAATAAAAGTTCCTGCTTTCCACTGCACTGCTCTTTTGTTTTTTTTTCTCCATCTTGATCCACGACGTCGGTTCTGGGGGAATGCGAGAATCTAGAGAAGAGACTTGCCTCAGGATGCGGGGACCTTTGCTTGAGCCTCGAGGAAGCTTAATTGCAAGTTGCAATGTCTCGTTTTTGATGAAATTATTTTATCCTCCTAAAGTAATTTCTCCTCTTTTGGGGGGAAGCTAGGTTTTCTTCTCAACATTTGAACACTTTCTTAGCTTCTTCTCTTTGCAAGGAAGTGTCTTTCTTTTTCAAGGAAATGTCTTTCTTTGATTTATCTTGTCCTCATCTTTTGGGTGGAAAATGCTTTGTTTTCCAGCTCAAATCTTTTGATTTGATTGTTTTCAACTCCGAAAGATGTTATCTTCAAAATGGGAGTTTACTTGGAGCATGGTTTTGTCTGTATCAGCTCCAACTCTTTTGGCTAGTTTGATCGCACAAGTTTTCTTGTTCCTAAGTTTGAACTTTCTATAGTATTTTGTAATTTTATTTGTTTCTATTTTTCTTCTGTTCATAAGCAATTTTTATAAATAAATAAAAAGTAATTTTTACATACATAACACCTAAAACTATTGAAAATGCATATTTAACATCTAAACTTCTATATTTACTAATATACCACATAAAACCCCTCTTTTAATCAATTCTAACATTCAGTTTAAACATTCCGTCAAAAAAATCACTATCAACGACCATCTTTCCCGTCAATGGCATTCTTTCACAGTGAATACAAGTATCTCATTGCTTCAATGGAGTGGTAGAATAGAAGGAAAAGGGGATTTTAGGTGATATATTAGTAAATATAGAATTTTAGGCGTTAAATGTGTATTTTCAATAGTTTTATGTGTTATGTATGTAAAAATTCCTTTTTATTTATTTATACGATAAGCATGATCTAAAAATCACCATTGTTATCTCAACATTTGCCTTCAGTGTATGAAATTCTTTGTGGGGAGATGATGATTTTATTCTGTAGAACTCAGCAAAGTTATGAATTGAAACCTTAGGCTTCGTTTGGGACGGCTTTTTTACTGCTTTTTAAAACGGAGTTTTAGTACAAAATTTTTAAATTTTGTACTAAAACTCCGTTTTAGAAAGCAATAAAAAAGCCGTCCCAAACGAAGCCTTACTTTGTACTTTATCTTTATCAATATGGACCTTCTTTTATTATTTTGCAAATTGGATAGAAGAGAGTAAAACATCAGCAGTCTGCCATTTGGGTTGTATGGTTGATAACTCAGTACATTGATGGCAGAGGTTTTAGTATGATGGATGTTCTCATTGTTCTACACATTAAAGAGCGTTCTTCTTTTTCTTTTGTAAAGGTACTTGGTATTAAAATAATTGTTTTCTCTTTTCTTTTTTGGCGATTTTGCAGGCTATGGATCCTGTACATACCCTTCATCCGCAAGGTATGTTTTTCATGTTAATGAAAAATCTTATTATTTTCTTTCACTCAAATATTTTTTTTGGGGCAAAGCAAATTAGCATATTATTTAAATCCATGTCTCCTTGTATGTTGTCTTTAGGTCTATTAGATTCTGTAGTATATGTGTTCTTGGGGTGCTTGGAGCTTCACTTTCTGGTCTTACTATTTAAATTTTCTTCCATTTCTCATGCTTATGCCCCCTTCACTAGTTATATAAGTTATTTCTTCTCTCTTGTCTTTCATTTGAAGATGTTGGCTAGTCAATAATTACAAGAAAATGTTTATGATGGTTAAGTAAAACTTGATTTGTTGGAATTGCTTAGAGCATTTAATGTCTAATTTGGCTGGTAGTTATTGTGTGTCAAAAAACTATTTTGTCCTTGTAATGCGAACTGGTGGTCTGGCTTTTTAAATTTTGAAATGCTTCTTACATAAACTCAATTAAACAATGGTTAAAGTTTATCCCAAGGAATCATCTCTTGGGAAGCTACTCCAAAGCCTAATTCATACAAGTTTTCTTGTATACTAAGAAATAAAAAAAGATTAAGAAAAGTTTTCTTATGGTAGGAATAAAATGATTTATTTTACCTCATGGAGGATGTATTTTCTTTGTAATTTGCTATATTAGATGGTGTCCATGCATTAAGCCATGTTATCTTTGAAATTAGTGCTAGCTTATGCCGTTTAATTGGGGGTAATTTGGTTATCTGGCAAACAGAAGGCAAGGATCATTTTGGTATTATCGAGAGACGTGTTTGTAACATTATGTTGATTTATTTTATTATAAAAGGATTTAAATTAAACAATATTATCCCTATCAGGATCGAATAAATTTCTGTATGAAAAAATATAAATTTTGGCGCAAAGCAAAGCACCCAATGCATTTAAATTAACCCAAAAGAGTTTAATTTACTACAAAATTTAACGTCAAATTTTATTTTAGGGACCCAATAGGGCTAATTTATATTCAATTTGATTTCAATACTTAGGTGGAGGGAGTAAGGGTCGTGGGAGTGATGGCTGATAAGTCGAAGATTTGCTTGGGCTTGAGATGACCAGAGCAAAATCGGTTGAGCATAGGATGAAGATATAGGATTGAATGGGTTGTGTGGGAGGGGATTCGGTGGGAAGTTTATCAGAACTTGGAGGATTATTGGTGGTAGAAGAAGCGTGGGTAAGTGGAGAGATTGGATTATGGGGTAGAGAAAAAATGTGGTTGAAGAATGACTGGAGTAGGTGCTGGGTGGGAATTCTAAGGTAGAGGTGGGAATGAGCATGAATGGTGAAGTGGGGAGATTCATAGGTGTAGTAACGGTTTGTATAGAGGAAGTGGCGTAGGGAATATTTGTTCATGGAAAACAACATGGCGGGAGATGTGGATTTTGTTGGTGCGTAGGTTGAGGCACAGATACACCTTGTCAGATGTGGAATAACTGAGGAATAGACACTTTGAGAGAGAGGATGAAGTTTGCTTGGGGCTAGTGGTTTGAGCCAGGGGAAGCAAAGGCAACCGAATTTCTTGAGAGGGGTGTATGTTGGAGTTTAGCCGTGAAACATTTGCTAGGGAATGTGGAGTTGAATGGCCTTAGAGGGTAGATGATTTATGAGATAATGAGATAGTTACAGGTTAGTAATGCCTCTACCCAAAAATGTAGGGGAAGAGTGGCTGCATGAAAGAGGGTGTGGGTAGTTTCCAATAGGTGACAGTGCTTGCGTTCGGCAACTTCGTTCTGCTTAGGAGTATAAGGGTAGCTAAATTGATGGGTAATGCCTTGATTGAGGAGAAATTTCATGAAGAGATTAGTCATAAACTCACCACCACCGTCGGAGCGAATGGTGGTAATGTTTTTGTCAAATTGATTTTTAACTTCTAATTTATGACTAATATCTATGCAGTTTATTTTAAACTTTAGTCAAATTGGATACAAACTAAAATAAAATATGTCAAGTTGATAAAAATATTATATCATCACTATTTTAATGATCAAAAAGAAAATTTTTGGGCATGTTGTTTTAATCATCGAAAGAGTTAAAATCCTAAATAATAAAAATAAATGACATATTTAATATTGAGTTGAAAGAAGTTGTTATTATAATTGAATTGAAAGAAGAAGATTGTAAAATTTTGATTTAATAAGCATGGGAGAAAAACATCCCTCACATTATCACTCTGAGATGTTTGAATCACTGATGAAGTTCGTGAAGATGAACTATGCAAGTTTGACTTGATAATTTGTGAATAATTCGAATAAATTCATCTTCACTTTTGAAATTTACACTAAGCTAATCACCACCATAAATATGCTTTATTTATCTATATTTCAATTCAATATTATATATTATCTTTATTATGTAGGGTTTTGACTCTATGGTTGATGAATAAAACATGCCTAGAAAGCCCTTTGATTATTTAAACCTTGATAATATATATATATATTGTCAACTTGGCATGTTTGTATCCAATTTGGTGAAAGTTTAAAGATGAACTGTATAAATACTATTCATAAATTAGAAGTTGCATAATATAAAACATGCAATTTGAGTTGCATACTATAAAACTTGTTGGATTCGTCTCGTTAAGCCACTCGATTCAACTATAAGCATGTCATATTTGAATATCATTTGATCATCCAATTAATATTTTGAAGTTTTTAAATACGCTTTGGTCCTTTGATTTGGGTCTATTTGGGCTTGGATTAGACCAAATTTGGTGTCAATAAGTTTGCCTCCTTGGTATGCTCAATTTGACTATAAGTTTGTTGAAATCAAAGTTTGGATGATCCCGAATTTAATTTTGAAAGTTTCCAATTCAAATTTGCATCAAAATTCATGTCAAATCAAGCCAAATTTTGGCGACATCAATACTAATTATTTAGAATAATTATTTTTATTATACTTTTTATTATTCTCTTCTCTACCCTATATATAAACAAACCTTATCAATATATTCCAATATTCAATAGAAAAGCCATTGCAATTCTAATATTCTTTGAACACCTACTTGGTTTTATGCAAGGCTCTCTATTGTGAAATGTTGAATAAATCATAGAACATAGACATAATCACAAAACCTTACAATGTCTGTGAATTTCTTTCTGCAGCACTGCTGGAGGCTCTACAACTCCCAACAGCAATACTCCGACAACAAGCTCGCCTACAGGTCCAGGCTTCGGCGATATCGGTGGCGGCAACGGCGGCGGGCTTACCCCAGGTCTGGTTACTCCATTTTCTGACACTGATAACTCCAGTGCTGAGTCCATTTTAATTTATCAGCTTGTATCTACTTGCTGCTTTCTGCTTCTACTTCTTTGATCTGCAATGTAGTCTGTATCATATGAAGCCATCACAGTTTTGTTGGAGGATAAGTAAGCCTTTTTGTGGTGGTTCTATTGAGAATTGTTCTGTTTGCTGGGATTGGAATTAGAGATAAATATAAGATCATTTCAGCTGATAAAGACTGGTTAAGCAGGAAAAAAGCTGGTGTTTGTTCCTTGATTCGGTGAAGAGTTATCTGCACTAATCTCAAAGTGAAATTATTTTGATATAATTTGTATTAAAAAAAAAATTATATGATTTTTTTTTTTTATTTAGATGTTACAGATCTGAAATGAATGTTGCTAATGTTTTGGAATAAAATTTAATCTTCTCAAAGGTTTTTTTGATCAACACTTCTTCTAAAGATTTTGCCAAAATACAAATTTAAATTTCAGAATAAGCATATCCAGGGGAAAATTTGCAACAACATGACATTTCTAATTTGGTGCCTTTTTTTTTTTTGTAAATTAAAAATTTTATTTGTAAAATAATTGGTATTTCTGGATTTTATCATTTGATTGATCAAATTACAAATCAATATAAATTTTCTCAAATTTGAATCATAGCCAACAATCTAGGAGTAATGATTGACTGATTGATACTCTCAGGCTTCATTTGAGACAACTTATTTTTTGTTTTTAAAACAATTTTTAAGTACAAATATTTCGAGTTCAAAAAAAAATTTATATTAAAAAAATGTTTTGGAAAGAAGGAAGAAAGCTATCTCAAATGAAGCCTCAATAAACCTTGGAAATGAAATTCATTATTAACATCATTTTTTATGAAAGAGTTTGACTTAGGCTTCGTTTGGAACGGCTTTTTTATTGCTTATTGAAGCAGCTTTTTAGTACAAAAATTTTAATTTTTGCACTAAAAAGCTACTTTAAGAAGTAGCAAAAAAGTCGTACCAAATAAAACTTTAGGCTTTGTTTGGGATGACTTTTTTAATGTTTCTTAAAACATCTTTTTAATATTAAAAATAAAATGTTTATGCTAAAAAATTATTTTTAAAAAATAGTAAAAAAATCGTCCCAAGTAAGCCTCAATTTTAATCTTGAATGCTTTAAAAAATCTTTTATAAAATCTGGGCGGATATTTGATTGAAAGTATTTAAAAATCAGATGTATAATACAATATATTTAAAATATTCAAAATTATTTGATTCATGTAAAATCTAAGTGCTCAGGACCATCTCTGCAGAAATCAGAGAAAAAAAAAGCCTGATATTTCCAGCTAATAAGACCATGAAGCAGGTAAAGACTTCTATATAGAATGGAAGTGAAGAGAAACTGCCAAAAAGAGTTGCCTCTTCCCCACTAGTCCACTAGCATATCGCAAAACTTAACCCACAATCATTGATACTAATATATGAACAGATTCTTCCAACATTTGTCCATATAAGAACTGATTGGAAATAATTAGTGAGCTGAATTCAACCGCTCCTCATCCTGAATACTACTTGAAAAAAAAAACAACAACATATACTAAAAAAATTTGACCTTCCCATGTTAAATGGAGGTTCAAATCCCTAGTGATGGAGAAATTATTGTGTGAATGTCGGACACAGTTCTACTTCTAGATGTCGCAGTACCAAGCAGTACTGAGCCACTGTACCGAGTGTTACCGAGACGTGATACAGTAAAAGGGTGACGTGGCGCATTCTGATTGGTCTTTGGACATCATTTGACATCTGCACATAATAATTTTTCCTAATGATGCTTGAAGATCGAGTGCCAACTTTAATATGCGCATTTTTTATGAGACCTTTCTAGCGAATCAATGCAAACTCACACATCACATATGCAAACATCGAACTCAAGACCTCTTGACAATAGGCCATGAGCTGCATATATGTGTATATTTTTTGTCATTAATTTGCTCCAATTTTTTTTTTTTTTTGTTTGAACTTCTGAGTGAATTAATACAAACACACACAAATCACAAATATAAACTGCAAATTCAAAATCTCTTAATTGATAGATAAAGCAACCAACCAAACTATTAAGGTGGGCTGCATTTTTGCTCAAAAGTTAAAAATTTGACTATCCAAAGGAGCACATGGGATGTGGGCCATTTCACTGTTACCATATAAAATTGTAGCTGGGAAGAGGACGGCAACAACAGCAGTTATGGGCATTAATATTAATATCAGTGGAGCATCATAAAATTTATGTTATGAGAACCACGAGTCAAATTCAACGATGGTGGAAGCTTAAAAAATAGTAATAATAAACAATAAAAAATAAACCCAATCTCCAAACCACCCAGCACATGTAAGTTCTTAACCTGCTCTCATTGGGATTAGTTTAAAAAGGTAAATCTGAGTGTCAGATAAGCAAGACCAGGCTGTCTTCTTCTATTTTAAGATTCAGGTTTCTTTAGGGACCGCTATTTTGCTACTTCTTAAAACAATTTTTTACTTAAAAAATTAAAATTTTTATATTAAAAAGCTGCTTTAAGAAGCAGTAAGAAAGCTGTCCCAAACAAGACCTCAATTATCCTAAAAGATCAACAAGGGATGGGCTTTTTCAAAGGAATATAACTCATCTGCATGCTCAATATAAGAAAAGGATCTCACAAAATGTCCATTACAAACTGTTGAGCTAACTATACCTTTCTACCTGGCCACCACTACTGTTCAAACAGATAGAGACTTCACATACTGGAGATCCCTTCATAGCAATGCTCATCACCTGCCTTCTCCCAGACTCAGATCTGAAAGAATGCATTTCTACAGACTCATCATCTTTCTCATTTTTGTAATGTCTTTCATCAATTATTCAACATCTCAGCAGCAAGAATACAGCAGCACCATTACAGTGCCTCGTCAAGTGAGAGCTGGATACTGGTTCTCCAGCTCAGGCCGTTACTCGCCGCTTACCGGCATCGACGTTTCACTGTACACCCACCTCTACTACTACTCAGTCTCACTTGATCCTGCTGACTCCAGCATAGCACTTCCACCACCTGAGCAACTCCCCCTTCTAACCACCTTCTCCACTACACTGAAAACTGGAAATTCCTCAGTGAAAACACTTCTATCTGTCGCAACCGACAACCATCAAGTCAATGAGTTGAACACTGCTTTCTCCGCCATGGTGGGTGACCCGGCTCGTCGTTCCGCATTCATCGCTTCCACCATAGAATTCGCAAGGGCGCATTTTTTTGATGGTCTAGACCTAGCTTGGCAGTTCCCATCTTCATCATCAGACATGGCCAACCTAGGAATTTTACTAGAGGAGTGGAGGGCTTCTATAAGCAATGAAGCAGGAAACTCACTGTCAGCACTCCTACTTACAGCAACAGTGTACTTCTCCGATCATCTTTTTGAAGGCCCAGAAAACAATCTTGATTACCCAATCGATGCCATTTCAAGAAATCTAGACTGGATTAATGTCCTCTGCTTTGGCTACCACAAGAACAGTATGGTAGCTGCAGCTGATGCAGCGCTCATAGATAAAACCTCACACTCCTCTACAAGCTACAGCATAGGCTCTTGGCTTGACTCTGGGGTTTCTTCCAGTAAGGTGGTCATGGGGATCCCTTTGTATGGAAGATCCTGGTATCTAAAAAACAAAGAAAAAAATGGACTTGGAGCCCAAGTGGTAGCAACAGGTCCAAGGCAGAAGCTCAGCAACCAAAGTGGAGTCATGGCTTACTTTGAGATAGAAAAGATCTTAAAGGAGGCCAGTTCAACCTTAGTTTATGATAACCAGACAGTATCTACATACTTGCATAATGGAGGTTTATGGGTCAGTTTTGATAGTCCTGAAGTGGTAGAAGAGAAGATCAAATTTGCTAGGAACAAAGGTTTGCTTGGCTATTTCCTCTATCCAGTCAGCTTTGACAACTCAAACCATAAATTATCAAAACAAGGTGAGTCCCTCCAGTAAATCTGTGCCAACTTGAGCATGATTTTCTCTTTTTTTATTTTAACTGCTCCATAATCAATGGTTTGGTATTTAAATTCAGCTTTGGATGCATGGGAAAGATATCATTATCTAGAAACTTCCAATGAAGATGGTCGATATGGAGAAGCACCATCTCCAGACGAAACATCCGCACTAGATCAAGCTTCTAACCAATCGGCAGATCTGTCCAATTCACTAACATGCTTCCCAACTATCAACACTTTCATCATGTGTTTTTTACTTCCCATGTTTCTTCTACTCTATTTTGCATTGATTATGGTGTAAAAAGATAGACCTAAACTTAACATCATAGAAATCTTGACGTAGCATTTATTCTCACTGAAATGGGGGGATAGTTCTGATTGACTGAGTATTACAATGTTGACAAAATATTCATAATGTGTTACAGACAGAATGGACATAATAAGCAGCTGGAATTATATATTACATGTGAAGGTCAAAGCTTGATGTTTGCATGAGTGCATGGGCGGAGGGGGCGCGTTTCGTTTTCCCTTTCGCTCCTCTCTCGCCCCCAAACAGAGAATGCTCGTGGCAGATATTTATGTCTCTAAGTTCTAAGGGTCATGTTATTTGTATTATTAATTTTGATCTTACAGCTCCTCTTGGCTCCGGTAATAAGATGACAACGGAACTATTTTAATGTATTCCAACATTCCAGATGAGACGACAAATAGAATTATTTTAATGTAGCCCCTTGAATAAAATTTCTGGCTCTGCCACAGCATGAGTGGATGGGTAAAATATGTTCCTACGGCTAGCTATGATTGCCAGTTATTGTGATCTTCATGTATTCCTTGGAATATTATCTTTGGACAACTTCTAGCGCTAATCAACAAATGCTGCAAAAGTAAACGTGCTTGTTCTGCTCTTCAGAGTGTTAAAGGTTTAGCCATATATCATTATTCCGAACCAAGTGGCCAAGTAAGTGTGGCCTGATGAGCGGATGGAGGCTGATATAGTAGCAGATAATCGATCCAGATTATTAGCATCAAGCACAAGATTGCCTGCCTGATCATCTGATCAATAAGAAATAAAAGACCGATGGAAATGCAGTTATCATAGATGGAAATGCGTGAATCAGCTGGACCTTCTACTGGAGATGTGTATATCAGGCCTCCTCAGAACGTTGTCTTACCATCAAAGGGTTTACCTTCTACAATAAGACGGTGTGCTACAACCAATCTTGATAGGAGATTTAGGCTTCGTTTGGGACAGCTTTCTTACTGCTTCTTAAAGCAGCTTTCTAGTACAAAAATTTTAATTTTTGTACTAAAAAATTACTTTAAGAAGTTATAAGAAAGCCGTCCCAAACAAAACCTTAGTCCTTAGAAGCCTCAAAACCATAGACAAGAGACCCACCCAACGCAAAGATCTTTCAGCATTTCACCAATCTGGGAGGGTCCCTATGTCAACACTGCCATAATCAAGCGCAAGACATTTCATTAAAGGATTTTAAAGGAGAGAATGCATACGCTGGTTACTGATGTAATGAGAAGAATGCAATGATTCAGGATCTATATACTAAAACCTCTCAGGCTATGCATTATATTGGCATTGACTAGGCTACTTTTGATCATCTCTAAAGAATATGATTCAAAGGTGTATAATCAAATGCTGCTACACCTCTATGTTCAAAACAAATTTTTAGAAAAACTTTCATTTTTGGCTTTTCTTATTAAGAAGATGAATATATATTATTTACATCCTCCTAAACAGCCTAACCATGTCCGCAAAGAACCAAAAGTGACACAGGCATATGGTATGTAGTACAATAAATCTCCAAATATACTAGGAATGCAGTAAACAAGACATGTGAGGTAAGAAAGAAGGGGTTATCACAGCATGCACATACAAAATATTACTCCTATTCTATTCACTGAGCCCATCAAAGAATATATAGTGAGTGAAATACCTATGTTCTTTAAATTCAAATATATAAAACCTCGCAAAATATAGAAAACCTTGTCGTTTGTGTTTGGTAGGATTTCATTTTCAAGATTGGTTGCCTCAAAAATCACATGTAATGAGTTTCTCTTCAACTAATAAAAGGTAGTTTGCTTCCCCCACACTTTGTTCATTTTAACACAAGCTGTAATGCTAACTCTCTCTCTCTCCTCGAGCAACATCATGGCGATGACCTTGGAAGGGTGGCAACAAACTAAGGTAGGCCTACTTTTACCGTTAATCTGAGTTGTACACATGTGTTGTCTCTCAAATAATATTTAATCAATCTTTGGCAGACCCAATTTAACATCTTCCATCATTGTTTAAAGTTATTAAGCTAATCTTTGTCTAACAATCCAAGATCAAAGTCACAAAATTTTCTCTATTACATATTATAGTTGTGTGGCCACGACGATTTAAGTAAAAAGGATCCTTTCAGGGGTACAAATATAATGGTCATCAAAAGGGCTCTGACTAATAGTTCCAAAGTATGGTTGAGTCATAACAAAGGCCTCTAAACCCTGGGCAAGGTTTTATAACATTCCCTAGGGTAAATCACTTGCAATCATGCATGGCAGCATGGGTAATGGGTTGGGGATTACCACCCCCAATGCTATAATAGGATAAGCTTCCGATGAAGTTCTTGTCCAAATGAGCAAGTGACATGTCCTTCAAAATTGGAGGCAACATAACCCTACAAAGTTCAACATAATCAACCATTTATCAAAATCCTAGAAGAAATGAACCATTCTCTTCCTCATTGTGGTAAATTTTTAACCAGCCAAGAATATTACACTCTTAAAAAAAAAAACAGCCTAGCAATTTCAAATATTAGTCTATCAAAGTCATAATTCAAGTAGTTTTGATTATCCGATGAAGTTCCCTTCCAACACATCTTGGATCACTAAGAAAATCCACTATTTGCTCACTCATTAAAGCAATCTTCCACAACCTATAAACCAATCTAGAACCAATCCTCCATAGAAACTCGAGGGAAATAATTTTTCTCAAAATAAAATTAAGTTTTTTTATCATAGGCAAATTTCTGGAACGAGATGACGTGTTTTTAACCTTGTTAAAATTTTCATCCAATTTAGACTATCAAAAAAGCCTATAAATTTCCCACAATAATAACCCAAATACATAAGCAAAGAGTGTCATATCTAAAAGTTGGGCAAAACTAAATTTTTTATTAAAAAAAATAATAAGACATGCAGGAGTAGTAGTGCATATAAAACAATCTTTATTATATCAAGAAGGGTGACACTACTCAAAGCAAGAAAAAAAAAAAAAAGACACGCCTCCTTTAATAATCCATACTATCTTCTTCATTATGGAGACCAACTACAGCTTTTTGCTCTATGCATCATCTTCCAAATATGGTGAAGTATCTTTGGACACGTGGTTCATGATAATTAAATCAACATTGGCTCAAGTACTACGTTGCATTAGGTGAAGGGGATCAAGAAATCCTTAAGTGAACCACTCCTCAAGGTGCTACTCCTCTATCTCTTTTAATTCATCCTAAAATATTATATTGTGAGCTTAATCAACATCATCAAGAGTCTCACATTGATACTTCAAAGACTTCTTAAACCTCTTTGTCATCATTAAGATACTACATTTCAAATCAAACTCTTAATTCCATCAACTGCTCGTAGTTTAGTCTCCTTCCCTTTCAAGAGATCGATTACCCTGTCCATTTTCAATCATCCATCAACATCTATACGGGTATAATATCCTATTTTGAGCTTAATCAATATCATCAAGAGTCTCACATGATACTCCAATGAATTCTTAAACCTCTTTGTCATCATTAAGATACTACAATTCAAATCAAACTCTTAATTACCTGTCAACTCCTCGTAGTTTAGTCTCCTTCCCTTTCGAGAGATCAATTACCCTATCCATCTTCAATCGTCCATGAACACCCAAATGTCTAGTCCCCCCTCCCCCACCCCCACCATTATACATATTAGTATGATAAAAAATGTAAAGAACTAAGTTGATATTAATCTATTATGAATATAACATGAGATCTATATATATTGGTCATTGTAGGTTTTTAATAGAGTTTAACATAAGAATTAACTAATAGTATATAGATCTATAAATAGATATCATTAATAACTAATAGTTGATAGATTGTATATTCATAGATATGTTATAATTAATAAATTAGCCTGATTAGCAATATGAAAATTCCTCCAATAGGTAACATGTATACTAGAGACTAGTAGCATATTAAACAGCCAACTAGGTGCAATTAACCTTGATTGGAAGACTCAGCAACTAATAATATAACTCATTGTATTTCTAGCATAAGAGGTTAGTTATTTATTTAATTCTTTGATTCCAACGGTTCTGCCATTCGTCGCTATTCACATCAACATCATTAGGTTCTCTTACTTCTCCCACGAGGGATTTTTACTATGGTTTAAGTCTTTTAAAGTATAATGAATTCTTATCCAATTTTGAGACATGATGACCCAACTAGTGGAAATTGTCCTGATTGGATTAAGTCCTATAGTTTTTCTCTTTACGGATTTTCATGTTAAAAATTAATGCATCCTGTGTGTTTCAATTTATTTTTATGAATGTGTGTGGGCTTTTATTGAAGCTAAGATAATAAACTATTTTCCTCTCTTTATTGACACAAGTTCTGACATCCAACAACTATCATGAATAATGCCCATTTATTGAACCTACTTCTTCATTTTCGTAAATTTTTACCATTAATATAAACTCTTCCAATAATTTGATTTCATTGCAGAAGGAAGGAATGATACTCATCATCTCTCTTCTTCATCTTCTTTTAGAATTTAGTTTTTCAAATTACCATAAACACGAATACCATACCTAAATCACCTATGATTCATTTCCCAACGTTTAACATACCTCAATTAATTTCTCATCGCCGTTTTAAGCTAAGAATTGATGTAAATAATCATAAGACTAACCACTACCGTCATAGAACAGCAGGGCATACCTGAAGCTTACCTAGTAGCTCTCTGAGTCGGTGGATACAGCAAGAGTTAATGCGTTGCATATCGCGTCAAAGGAATAACCTACAACAAAGCGCTCCAAACCGCGAAGAATGTCGCTGGTTTCCAAACTTTCACAGAACCAATCCATAGCCGGACGGCAGTCCTCAGCCACCGGATCAATGAAATATCGCCGGGCCGGTCTCCTTAACCCCTCCAGTGTCGGCGATCTGAACAAAGTAAAGGAGCAGTGGTTCGGTGATCCAAAACCATGGCAAGGGCTTACAAAATGCAAACATTTTCACTCCCCCGAACAAAAACTACTTTAGATTTACGGGAAAACGGGATTTTAAATTAAATTTTAAGATTAAAAAAATTCAATTACGGTTAAATAAAATAATCTAATAAATAATAAAACTATTTTAACATAATAATAATAACAATAATTTATTAATTTAATATATAATATTTTAGATGTTTTATCATTGAATATTTTGAAAATAATTTTAAATTAAAATTTTAAAATATGATATTTAATTTTTTATAAAATATACAACTTCTAATAATAATAGTATTCGATTTTAAAGTTCAAAAAATATAAATTCCAATGGGGACAATTTTATTGGAACTCTAAAATCATTTGTTCAAAATCAAAATGACAGAAATTGGTCTATCATAGAAGAAATTATTTTGTGCGAAGTCCGGATGGGAAGAACCTTCCGTCCGGACTGTAAGTATAAACAGTGTATACAAAATTTGATACACACAAATATGTACACAGTGTATGTACTTACAAGTCCGAACGTTTCTTCCCATCCAAAGTCTGTGCAAAATAAATTATCCTATGATAGATTCATAAGAAAACTGACATGTTTTTTATTCAATAACTAATTCCAATACATACTTGATGCGGAGCATCTTAAGTGATTGGGCTTGAGGAACATGTTACCTGCACATGTTCTGCTATGAGATGAGCTCCACTACCTTTCCTGCTTTATTTCCTGTTTTACTTTAGTTAGTTATTGAAGTCAGTAATTTACCTTTATACTAATTCTGGAATAGAGTAGTATCTCAGGAATGAGTATATGTGTTAGGGAGGAGGAGGACTGAGGTAGTCTTTGATTTACAGAAGAAATACATAATACAGTATTCCCTACTGTTCCATTGTTTGTTCATTGTTTTCTTTGTTCTTTTCTATGCAGGATCCATTACATCAGATTTTGGTATCAGAGCCAGATGGCGGAGAGCAGCAGACGGGTGGCTCCCAGAGATGAACGTATCCTTGAAGCTAAAGCTGTCAACATTTGACCCGACCCGAACCCGACCCGAAAATTTCGGGTTTGGGTCAACCCGAACCCGAACCGGGTCGGGTCGGGTCAACTCGACAACCCGTCGGGTCGGGTCTGAGTTCGGATTTCTGACCCGTTTGTCTACCCGGGTCGGGTTAGGGTCGACCCGTTTGAACTCGGGTCAGTTCCGGGTTCGA